CATTTCAGATGAGGCCTAGTGCCTCTGGTGAATGGTAAGCAAGCTACAAAACTATTTCAAATAAAAGCAGTGAATCACCAGCATTTATCCCTCAACTAATATTACAAAGGAAAGTAGTTTGTGGGAGCTTGCTGTGCGCTCAGCAGATGTTTATGCCTTTTAAACTTTGTGGCAGTGGCTGTGGTTCAAAAATATTTGATTGTCTGTAACGCACGTGATGACAGGGGATTTCCTCACTGCCACTGTCAAACTTTAGCCAATTTATATTAAGGATCAACACCTCTCAAACTTCTGAGTTCAGAGCCAAGCCTCCAAATGGTTATTCCAATGAGATGCCCCATCTGCTTGATCCTTCGTTTGCGCCAATGGCCTGCTGACCCTAAGTTGAATAGTTTCGTGTACTAAGTCAGCCTGTCACAGGGGATCACAGCAGTGAATTCTGGCAAGTTCTTTGATAAACAGAAAGAAATCTACTGTCTGCCAAGACATTGTTGAAAGCCCATGACCTTCAACCTGGCTTCTTTAAATTGGGTGAGATAGTCTCACAGGCTAACGTTTAGACTAACTGAAGTGTTGAAATTAATGACAGGAAAAGGAATATTCTTCTAAGATACCATAAACTGCCACATATATCTGACATTGGACATAATGGCCAGAAAGAAAACCATTGTCTTTTTTGACTCAGCACGTGCTACGTTTTAATGCCAATGGCTGACAAGAGGAATATGATGGTCGAAGAAGATGTCAGGCATGGGGGTCAACAGGTACCATTACCTTTGTAAGGTTGTGTGTTCAAGTCCCTTTCATGAATCTTGAGTTCATAATCCCAACTGAAACTTCACTCTGAGTGAGCACTGCACTGTTAGAAATTTCATTTGTTGGATGAGGCATCAAGCCAAAGACATGCCTACACTTTAAGATGAATCTTAAACATCCCGTGGCTCTATTTTGAAGAGCTCTGACCTCCTGAGCAATATCTGTCCCCCAACCATCATCAAAAAATCATCGTGTTGCTGTTCTTGGGACCTTAGTGCAAATTTGCAGCATTGTTTCTTATAATGAAGACTGAACTTCACAAATACTAACAAAAGCAGAAATTACTGGAAAAGCTCAGCAGGTCTGGCAGCACTTACGGAGAGAAATCTGAGTTAACGTTTCGGGCACTGGACTGTCCTGAAGAACTGTTCTGAAGAAGGGTCACTGGACCTGAAACGTTAACTCTGATTTCTCTCCACAGATGCTGCCAAACTTTTTTCACCAATTTCCGTTTCTGTTTCTGATTTCCAGCATCTGCAGTTCTTCTGTTTGTTTTTCAGGAGTACTAAATGTGTTGTAAGGTGCTTTTCAGTGCCTTGTAAAGTGATGTACTGTGCAGATGCAAGTTCTTTGTCCTTAAGGCTATGAATGGTTATGAAGATTGGTCCGAGAGTTAAATATTGACGTTCAAAATTTGCTCCTCTTCCAATGCACTGTCATTGATAAACATTGGTGGCAAACAGCTGCAATCGTAACGAGCTGAGATAATTACTGTTGCATTTTTAAGACAAATTCTTGGTTTCATGAAAATACATACAGTGGCAGTTAAGGTGGAGCGTATTGCTGGAAGTCACTGCTTGGTTTCAATTGTGGAGAATTTTTGGGATTTGACACAAATGATTAGCCTGACAGAGTCACTTCTATTGTTGACGATTCGTGTCTTTTTATTTGAGGGTGGGGAGGTCAAGAGATTCTGAAAAGTTCACACATTAAATGCATCACAATCTGTTAGCACAGCATGACAGAGCTAAAGCAACACTGCTACATAATGTCCTTGTGATAAAAGTCATTTCTGTACTCTCGCAGGAACAAGTTAAGTTGCAATAACAGACTGAAGGAGCTCCTGAAAAGTGAACTCATTGATTATTGGCCTGCCTGGTTTCAGACTGATACCTGGGATGAGCTTATGATGGAACTGCACATAATATTCATTAGGCCACAGCTGGAATACGGTGTATAGTTCTGGTCACTGCACAATAGGAAGGATATGATTGCACCGAAGAGGGTGCAGAGGAGATTCACCAGGATGTTACCTAGGATGGAGCGATTGAGCTATGAAGAAACGAGATATAATCTGGAATTGTTTTCCTTAGAGCAGAGGAAGCTAAAGACAATCTTGTTGATAACAAAGTGTGGAGCTGGAGGAACACAGCAGGCCAGGCAGGATCAGAGGAGCGGGAAAGTTGACATTTTGGGTTGGGACCCTTCTTCAGAAATGGGGGAGGGGGAAGGTCCCGAACCGAAATGTTGACTTTGCTGCTCCTCTGATGCTGCCTGGCCTGCTGTGTTCATCCAGCTCCACACTGTGTTATCCCTGACTCCAGCATCGGCAGTTCTTGCTATGTCTGACGATCTTGTTGAGGTGTGCACAGTTCTGAGGGCATAGACAGGGCAGAATAGAAAAACATTTTGTCTTAGTAGAAAAACCAATAAATAGGAGGTACAGTTTTAAGGAAAGCAGCAGGGGATTCAAGGAAAGATGTTTGCACCCTGAGGTGGTGAATATCTGGAACTCACTGCATCCACCTGATGGAGATTAGAAGGATGGGCGGGGGGGGGGGGGGGTCAGGTGTGGGGGGACTGATTGGAACATACAGAATACTGAGAGATCTGGATAGAGTGGACGTGGAGAAGATGTTTCCACTAGAAGAGACGAGAACCCAAGGGCACAGCCTCAGAGTGAAGGGACGACCCTTTAGAATTGAGATGAAGAGGAATTTCTTCCACCAGAGAGTGGTGAATCTGTGAAACACGTTGCCGCAGAAGGCTGTGGAGGCCGTGACGTTGAGTATATTTAAGACAGAGATATATAGGTTCTTGCTTAGTAAGGGGATCAAGGGTTACGGGGAAAAAGGCAGGAAAATGGAATTGAGAAACATAACAGCCACAATAGAAAGTGAAGTAGACACGATGGTGCAAATGGCTTAATTCTGCTTTTTTTTTTCATGGCCTTATGAAAGGGTGATAGATGCAAGAACCCACAATTAAGTATTTTGATGAAAATGTAATAGCATTCAAGGCTATGGGCTATGTCCCAGAAAATGGGGTTAAGTTTAATAGATGTTTGATCACCAGTATGGACACGATGGACTGAAGGGTCTTTATCCGTGCTGTAAAAACTCTGACTCTCTACAAGGAGGGAATTTTGATTTAGGAATTCATCAGTGTTTGGAATAACGAGCAGTGGGAGCTGAGTCACTGAATGTAGTCAAGGCTGAGTGAACCTGCTTTGTGATTATTAAGGGCCAGGGTTACCTGTAGGCAAGTGGAGTGAAGGACACATTGGATCAACCACAATCTTATTGAATAGTAGAGCAAACTCAAAGTGCCAAATAGCTTATGCCAAGAACATGAAAAGAATCTGTGGCTGTTGTCCTTAGAGCAAAGAAGATTAGAGATTTAACGAAGCTATTGGAGATAACAAGAGTTTCGACAGGGTAAATGAGGAGAAATGTTTTCAACTGGTGATGGAGGAGGAAGTTAATAACCAAAGGACGACTAGATAGTTCCTTCTGTCATAGCACTGTACACCACTACACAAGACAATATATTTATCAAGTGGGATAAAGACAAGTCCCCATTCAAAAATAATGGACTCATGAAGAGAAAGTTACAGCCAGTCCCTGGACTTGCCCGCAAAGAAACAAATCTACAGAATTTTAGCAACATTTTAATCAGACAAAATCTGTTACATTCTGGTACCACCCCGTGCTATTTATAGGGTCAACTGGGTGGAGTTGTGTAGGCGGCAGTGAAAAGACTAAAAATTATGAGTATAATCTTATTGAAGCCTTATCAATTTGAAAACGTCCTGGCAGCTGATCCAATTCAAACAAGCTGCTGAATGCTCGCACAATACAATGTGCAGCTAATCAACGCAGAGCTAGAACATAAAATTCTCTCAGACTTCCAAGCCACTTGCCAAAAGTTGTGATAAGTTGTACTGTTGCTGAACTGTGTAAAAACAACTGCGTCTCGCCCTCTCTCCCGGTCAGTTTTAGATGCTCAATGACCCTTCTTTGTCTGAATGCAAGTATTCCTCCATCGTCACTGCTTGGCTCAGAGGAGAATGAAAGAGTTGTCAGTGAGTCAGGTGTCTAGACTCCAGACACGATGCTTAAGCGTCTCTGCAATTTAATCAAGTGTTTCCTTTAAGAGGGCACCATCTGTGTGTTTGAGTGTGTGTGTGAGAGAGAGAGAGTGAGAGAGCATGTTGAGGCACTGTTACGCAGTGTCAAAACTCAGGGATTCCCTCTCAAACATAGTAGGAACTGCCAATGCTGGAGAATCTGAGATAACAAGGTGCAGAGCTGGATGAACACAGCAGGCCAAGCAGCATCAGAGGAGCAGGAAGGCTGACGTTTCGAAACGTCAGCTTTCCTTCTCCTCTGATGCTGCCTGACCTGCTGTGTTCCTCCAGCTCCACACTGTGTTATCTCAGGGATTCCCGTACGCGTGCTAGAGTTTAACCGGACAAAGCTACACCCATTAACAGCACGCTGTTACACTAAGAACCACCATTCTCAAAGATTCACCTGCACCATTTCCTGCATCTCTTTCTGAGTTGTTTCCTAAGTGCAAGCTGCAGATTGTCAAGACAAGAGTTTATGTCATGTTTAGAGACTACAATTCACAACTACCCAGTGACTGATCCTACAGCAGGTTGAACTGAGAGTGTGTTGCATTCTGATACTCTCTGTTGAATGGACTGCCTTATTTGACTGCACTGTTTGAGGGCACACTCTTTCATTGCTTCACCATTTATAATACTCACATCCAGAACATTGTTTTTCTTTTTCAACTGTATTACTTATTTTAAACCACATCCTGTTCTCTTTCTGTCTTTCGTTCGCGTCTCTAATCATCTGGCCAGGAAATCCAACTCAATACAACAACCATCATAAATCCGACTCCTGGAGTCTTTGCCGAGGCTACAATTGAAAACGTACACAAAAAGAACTCACCAACACCATATTTGGCATCCACGGTTCGAATCCAGGAAGGCATGCCTTGGATGTGGTTTAAGGGAAGCAAAACAAAAGTCTCAAAAAGTTTAAGACTGTCCGCTCCCAATACTCTGTTCAGTGCAAGAGCCAAGACGCAAACTTATCACATGCTTAAACCACGTCACACATCAATGAGACAGCGAGGAAGCGATTCCCAGCGCAGAACTGTTGTGTTAAAATGTGGAAAGTGCAAGGCTAGAATTCTATATGTTTCGATTCTCCAAATCATTCTGCAATTCACCCTAAATGTTCACTGGATGCTTCCTCTGGGTTTTTGTTTCCACTCACAGCCAGACACGGACATCTGGCAGATTAACCCTCGCATGCCTCCTCCCAGCTCAAACACTCCACATGCTCTGAAAATTGATTTCACCCAGCTCCACTGCTGTAAACCAAACATCAGGTCCATGACCAGCCCTTTCATCCTCCCAAGTTCGCTGTGAGATCAGACACCAATCCTGGGAATCCAAGCCAGAGGAGTCTTGGTGTGCTTGCTCACGAATCCCTGAAGGTTGCTGGACAGGTTAATAGGACATTTAAGGAGGCAAAAGGGACACCCGTCTTTGACAGTTGAGGCATTACATACAAAAAGCAGCAGGGCAGCTCAGTGGTTAACACTGTTTCCTCACAGCACCACGGACCCATGTTCGATTCCAGCCTCAAGTGACTGTGTGGAGTTTGCGCATTCTTTAGGGTGTCTGTGTGGGTTTCCACAGTCCAACCATGTGCAGGCCAGTTGGATCCCCTGTGGGAAATGCAGGGCACGGGGTTAAGATGAGATGCTCTTCAGACAGATGGGCTGAATGGCCTGCTTCCACACTGGAGGGGATTCTAAGGGCAGGTAAGTTTTCTTGGAGCTGTACAGGATTTTGGTTAGGTCACAGCTGGAGTACTATGTGCCATTCTGGTCACTGCACTATAGGAAGGAAATTATTGGACTGCAGATTCCCAGCACCCTCTGGGTGAAAAAAGGTTTTCCTCACATCTCCTGTAAACCTCCTGTCCTTACCTTCAATCTATGCCCTTTGGTCAATGATCCATCAATCAAGGGAAATAGTTCCATCCTGTCTAGCCTGTCAACACCCCTCATAATGTTATACATCTCAATCATGTCCCCAGTCAATCGCCTCTACTCTGTGGAAAACAGCCCCAGTCTGTCTAATTTCTCTTCATTACCAAGACTTTTCATCCCAGGCAATTTCCTGTTAAATCTCCTCTGCACCCTCTCTACTGCAATCACTTCCCGGCTCGTGAGTCAGTCATACAGCATAAAACAGGCCCTTCAGCCCACCCTGTCTATGCCAACCAACAAACACCAAACTACAGTAATCTCGTTTACCTGCACTTGGTCCATAGCCTACTTTGTTCTGGCATTTTAAGTCCTCATTCAGATGCTTGTTAAATGATGCAAACACATTTCATATTCCTACCACCCTATTATGTGAATTACAGAACTGAATACAGTACTCAAGCTGTGGCCTTACCAATGTTTTATACAGTTTCAGCATAACAGCCCGGTTCTTAAACTCTATGCCCTGATCAATAAAGGCAATAAAGGCTTAGAGGGTATCTGAGGAAATGTCTTCCACCCAGAGGATGGTGGAGGTCTGGAATGTACTACCTGGGAGGGCAGTGGAGGCAGTAAACTTCACAACGTTTTAAAAAAAGTTCGTGGGCTAGCAGGGCCAAATGCAGGCAAGTAGACTTGATCAGATTAGGAAACCTGGCAGGCATGGACGAGTTGGACCAAAGGGTCTGATTCTGTGCTGTATGACTCAGTGACTTGAAATTCCGTAACATTCAAGACTGTGGACCAAGTCCGAAAAGTAGGATTCATGTAGATAGGTCAGTGCAGACTTGATGGACTGAAGGGGTTCTTCTGCGCTTTATGACTCAATGATAAATAACTGAAAGCTCCGTCAGCACCCAGTAGGGCAATCATAAAATCAATGCAGCACAGAAAGAGGCCATTCAGCCCATTGTGGCTGTACTAGCATTCTGAACGAGCATTTCTTTTTTCATTCGCTCACAGGATGAGTGCATCGCTGCATAGGGCAGCATTTATTGTCCATCCCTAATTGCCCAGAGGGTAGTTGAGAGTCAACCACATTGCTGTGGGTCTGAGTCACATGTAGGCCATACCAGATATGGGTGGCATATTGCTTACCTAAAGGGCATTAATGAACCAAATGGTTTTTTCCAACAATCGACAATGGATTCATGGTCATCATCAGACTCTCAATTCCAGATACTTATTGCATTCAAATTCCGCCATCTGCTATGGCAGAATTTGAACACCAGTCCCCAGAACATTCCCTGGGTCTCTGGATTAAAAGTCCAGCAATAATACCACTAAGCAACCACTTCCCCATTAAGACCATTGTCCCCATGATCATACACAGCATTCTGTGGAAAAAAGTTGCCCCTCAGGTTCCCATGTATTCTTTCCCCTCTTACCTTAAACTGATGACCTCTGGTCCTCGATTCCCCAACCCTGGGAAAAAGATTGAGTGCATTAACCCTATCCATTCCTCTCATGATCTTATACACTTCTATAAGATCCACACTCAGTCTCCTGCACTCTAAAGAAAAAACTCTTAGCTTGTCCATACTCACCCTATAACTCAGTCCCTTAAGTCCTGACAGTATCCTTGTAAATTACTTAGTTATAGCCTATAGCCTCCTAGTTATAGCCTATTAAGAGTGAACAGAAAAGTTCCTGATGCTGCCAGCACAATTAGAATGCTGGGATATGGGTTCGAATCCTATCATGGTGGATGGTGAAATTTGAATGCAGTTAAAATCTGTCCTAATGGCAATGATGAAACCATTTTAATTTTCGTAAAAACCCACCTGGTTCACTAACATCCTTTAGATGAGAAAGTCTGCCATCATAATCTGGTTTGGTCTACATGTGACTATAGACCCACAGCAATGTGGTTGACTTTTAACTATCCTCTGGGCAATTAAGGATGGGCATTAATTGCTGCTCTAACCAGCCCCTGCCACATCCTGTGAAAGAATAAAATAGCTAGAGATGAATAACACATACTGGCATAACTAGCATTGTCCACAAAGCCCCTGAATATAAATGAAAAAATGAAAAAAAAACAAATGTGATTCAAAAGCCATTGAAGAAAATACAATCAGCTCATAAAACTGTCAAAATTAACATTTTGCAGTCAATTTGACAGCTGTGTCAACAATCTGTGCTAAACAAAATCCAATAATGAACTTGGAACAAAACCCAAGCGTCACATCGAGATGACATGATGCAACTGTGTTAAAGCACTGGAAGTCTTTCAAAGAGCTTTGTTCAAGCTTTGAAACAGCCAGGCCAATGTCTGTGCCGAAAATTGTGAAAAGATTAAAGCAAATTAAACAATTGACAATGTCAAATTTGAATATCCGTATTATGCGGTGTAGAAGAACATCTTATCCTCTGGATAATCTTCTTGAATTCATCTTCTCCACCTTCATAATGCTGGTGAATTTATTGGCTATTTACATTTTTAAAAATTTAGCTCTGTCACAAATCATCATCATGCTTAATTTTATTGTGGCATATGATGTTCACAAACCTTTTAAAATTGCCTGTCAAAGCTTAATCCAGGATACCTCACCCCCCACCCCTCCATATTTTCTTTTGGCACATAAACAGATGTTGGTATGAATTATTGAATTTCTGAATAAATGCCAGCATATAGAAAATGCTACCCACACTGTGAAAGAATGTTTGAAAAGCTAGCTTCAATTGCCAGTCCAACTCTAAAAGAATTTCTGGTTCTCTGAAAGGCCAAAGCTCATAATGGACGCAACATAATCAGATCAGCTATAGGCAGGGTCTTGACCAAGCCTCTCGTAGAGCTCTGTTGAAAATTGCTGATGGTGGGAATATGGGGTGGAACTCATGATATCATTTCATGTTTGCCATTTTAAGGCCTACCCAATGCTGGGTTGGCACTGCATCAAGATGGGAAAATGAAACAGGCCCTGAATTCACTTTCACCTAATCCTGTCTGGCTCAATAATGTGCATCAGAACTAAACTCAGACTCATAAACCATCCTTTTGGCTCTGAGGAAGATTGTTGATTTATGTTAAATTAGAAACATTTGTGTTCTGTGAAACACCAAATGGAAAGCTGTTTGAGAATTACCAAGTTCCTTCCACTCAGAGCAGGCAACAGAAATTCAACACTGAAACATTTCACCACATGAGTCTTGTGATGGAACTAATTGCAGGTCCCAGGTTTGCCATGTTTGAATGGTGTTTTCCAATGTCAGGAAGTGTATGAATGGGATCTTTGTTGTTTTGGTTGTTAGATTATTTGTCCAGGAAAGTTTGTGGACCTGGGTGTAACGGGAATTATTTGCTTGGGTTTATTGAATTTCTAATCTGTTTCAAGGAAGTTACTCTTCACCTGTTGGTGACCTCCCTGTTTACATTCACTCTAATGTATTTTGTTGTGACACCACAACAGTGAAAATGTTGAGGACAGAAATTTTCTCTGAAAGTGGAACTTCAACTTCCCCCAGTAACTTCTGCTTAATTACATCCTTAGCTGGTAACAGCCATCTGGGTTACAATTGATGCAGTGTGTCTGGGTTAAACTGCGGTTCAGAGTGAGGTGCAAATGGAAATGGCTGAAAGTACTATATATTGGAAGGTGTACACCATGTGCAAACTATGAAATCAGAAACATGTTATCACGTGGCAGTGCAAATTTCAAACATTGCTAAAATCAGGCTTGTAGTCAGAACTTTTTTTCTGTCTCACACCCACTGGGACTGAGACACAACAGCCAATCTTTAAAAGGTGATGTACACAGCATAAGAACAGAGTACAGATTGGTTGGATTAAGACTGACATGAAGATACAATAAGACCTATTAACTGACAACTTTAGTTCACTAAATTAACCTCAGGCCAGACAGGCAGACTGGTTAGTCAGGCCATTGTTCTGGTGAAAGCAGAAGGGATTGGCTGTCTCCGTAAGTCTTCCCTCCATGACGAAGGTGTATGGTATGTACAAATTCCCTTTGCCCACACAGACCTCAATCATGCAATAAATCTTTGTGCCCCCTGGAAATGAGGAGTTTATTCTCACTCCAGATTTCATCTCTCTTCTGCCGTCATTTTGCATGAAACAGGAACGGATATTTGCTGA